TTTAATTTTTTTTAATTTTAAAGATGTGAGGTGCAATTCAGAGTTAGGTATACAAATGTTCATTATGCAGTACCCTTGTTGATGAGGTGTGCCCCTCTCTCCCTTGGCAGTTTCCCTCAACTGTCAATCACACCCCCTCTCCCCAGGCAGTTTCCCACTACTGCCAATCCCTTTATTATAGTATTATGATAACTTTTCAAGGTCCTCTTATAAGTGAGAACATATCGTACTCTGTTCTTCGATTCTGTGATAGGTCACCCGGCATTATAGATTCTAAGCCCATCCAGGTTGCCGTGAATTTCATGATTTTGTCCTTCTTAATGACTGCGTAATATTCCCTCGTGTATATATACCACATTTTTAAAAAATCCAGTCCTCTTTCAATGGGCAGCATAGTTGGTTCCACGTTTTTTGCTATTGTGAACCATGCTGCAATAAACATACGTGTGCAGTTATCTTTTTCATAGGGTGATTTGAGTTTCTCCAGGTATATTCCCAGTAGGGGAATTAGTAATGTTGTATGGAAGACTGATTTTTAGATCTTTTAGAAATCGCCAAACTCTTTTCCACAAAGGTTGTATCAGTTGCCTGGCTCGGTGGCTCAGCCTGTAATCCCGCACCTTTGGGAGGCTAAGGTGAGTGGATTGCCTGAGCCCGCGGGTTTTGAGACCCGCCTGGGCAGCGAGACCTCATCTCTACAATAAATCAAAAAAATCAGCCGGGCGTGGTAGCACATGCCTGTAATTCTGGCTACTCGGAAGGCTGAGGTGAAGGATCGCCGGAGCCCAGCAGGTTGAGGCTGTGGTGGCCGGGAGCGGCCACCGCACTCTAGTCTGGGCGACAGAGTGAGACTCCAACTCAAAAAGAAAAAAAAGGTTGTATCAGTTTACACTTGCATCAACAGTATAGAAGTATTCCCTTTTCACTGCATCCTCTCCAGCATCTGGTGTTTTTTGAGTGATTGATGATGGCCATCTTGACTGGAGTTAGGTGGTATCTCAGTGTGGTTTTAATTTGCCTTTCTTTGATGATTAGTGAGGCTGAGCATTCTTTCAAGTATCTGTTGGCTGCTCGTATGTCTTCTTTTGAGAAGTGTCTATTCATATCTTTTGCCCACTTTGTATTGGGGTTGTTTTTTCCTTTTCAGCACATTTGAGTTCCTTGTAGATCCTAGATGTTAGGCCTTTGTCAGACATATAGTTGGCAAATATTTTTTCTCAGTCTGTGGGCTGTCTCCCTGCTCTCTTGATGATTTCTTTGACTTTGCAGAAGCTTGTCAGTTTGATGAGGTCCCACTTGTCTATCTTCTCTCTTACGGCATGGGCACTTGGGGTTTTGATCAGGAATTAACTGCCAGTTCCAATTTCCATAAAGGTGTCTCCTGCATTTTCTAAGAATCTTATAGTTTGAGGTTTTACATTTAGGTCTTTGACCCATTTAAAGTTGATTTTTGTGTATGGTGATAGGTATGGGTCTTGTTTTAATCTTCTGCACGTGGTCAGTCAGTTTTCCCAACACCATTTACTGAATAGGTTCTCCTCTCCCCAGTGGTGGGTGGTGGAGGCTTTATCAAAGATGATTTGGTTGAGAAGTTGAGATCTTGCTTCTGGAATCTCTATCCTGTTCCATTGGTCTATAGGTAGGATTGTTTAAGCCCAGGAGTTTGAGACTAGTCTGGGCAACTTGACGAGACCTTGTTTCTACAAAAAAATTTAAAAATTAGCCAGGTATGGTGGTGCGTGTTTGTAGTCCAGCTACTTGGGAGACTGAGGCGGGGGGATTGCCTGAGCCCAGGAGGTTGAGGCTTTGGTGAACCGTGGTCATGCCACTGATCTCCAGCCTGGTAAACAGTGAGACCATGACTCAAACAAACAAACAAAAAACTTGGAACACATTTTTTTACAAAATGCTTAAAACCTTAATATATAAAGAAATGATACATGTGATTTAAAGAATAAGACAAACCCATAGAAAAAATAGTGAAAGATACAAATAAGTAGTTCACAGCAAAAGAAATACATGGCTTTTCAATGGCTACACAAACACACACGATGAAAGAGACACACACTAAAAGGTAAGAGCATTTTTAAGCTAAAGCCTTGGCAAATATCATAAGGTTTAATGATACAAGAGTGTGGGAGGAATAGACACTCTCCTATCTCCTGTCCTGCTCATGAAACTGTGAGCCGAAGCCCTTTTGGAAGATTTGACAATATAACTAAAATTTTTAATACACATATTTTAACTGGATGCATTTGTTTTTAATGAGGTTACCATCTAAAAATGCTAATAGATGAATGCCAATATTTATCTATAGAAATGTTTATTCTGGATTCTGTATAGTAGGAAAAGAAAAGAGAAGAAATTGCCTAAATGGACATCAAAAATTACAGTAATGAAATACTAGGTAACTGTGCTTTTTTTAAAAAAGAAAGGTTGTGTTTGTAAGTGCTGTTGGTAGGGGAGTGGCAGAAAGCAACCGTGTAGTGGCACGCTTGTGTTTGTGTGTGTGTGTGTGAGAGAGAGAGAGAGAGAGAGAGAGAGACAGAGAGACAGAGAGAGAGGGAGAGAGAGAAAGAGAAAGACAGGGACAGAGATGAAGAGGCAATCGACACATAGATTACATGAGAAAGGATATATGCTCCAAAAAAGTTAATAGGGCTGGTTCTGGCAGAGAAAATTGGAGCCAAGAGCCAGGAATATGAAGAAAATTCTTTTTTCGTCGTTTTTCTTTGAAATTTTCCCCTTGTAATATGCTTTAAAATATATATATTTTAGGGGCTGAGTATGGCGGCTCATACCTGTAATCCCAGCCATTTGGGAGGCCAAGTGGGAGAGGAATACTTGAGCCTATGAGTTCGAGATCAGCCTGGGCAACATAGTGAGACCTTATCGTTACGAAAATTTAAAAAAAAAATTAGCCAGGTGTGGTGGGATGTGTCTATAGTCCCAGCCACTCTGGAGGCTGAGGTGGAAGGATTGCCTGAATCCAGGAGGTCAAGGCTGTGGTGAGCTGTGATCATACAACTGCACTACAACCTGAGTGACAGAGTGAGACCTTAATTCAACAACAACCACAACAGCAAATATATATATATAATTTAGGACACTAAGAACATAAGAGGAAATCTTCAACGAGATAAAACTAAACTACATGAAATCTAAAACAAATGTCAGATTTCTTGGGGACACATTGGAAGCAACCCCTTTAAATTCAGAAATAAATTGAGGATATGTCAGTAAATGGTGCTGGAAAAACTGGCTCACCACATGCAGAAGATTGAAACAGGACCCCTACCTATCACCTTACACAAAAATCAACTCTAAATGAATCAAAGACCTAAACGTAAAGCCTCAAACTCTAAGAATCTTAGAAAATGCACGAGACAACCTTACAGAAATCAGAGTAGGCAACCAATTCCTGATCAAAACCCCAGATATCCATGCTATAAAAGATAAGATAGACAAGTGAGACCTTATTAAACTGAAAGGCTTCTGCAAAGCAAAAGAAACTATCAAGTAAGTGAGGAGACAGCCCACAGAATGGGAACAAATATTTGCCTACTATATATCTGAAAAAGGCCTAACATCCAGTACCTCCAAGGAACTCAAACATGCTGAAAGTATAAAAAAAAGCCACATTAAAAAATGGAAAGAGACACGAATAGATACTTCTTCAAAGAAGATATACAAGCAGCCAACAGATATACGAGAAAGTGCTCTGCCTCACTAATCACCAGAGAAATGCAAATCAAAACCACATTGAGATAGCACCTAACCCCAGTAAGAATGACCATTAATAAAACAAACAACAGATACTGGTGAGGATGCGGAGAAAAAGGAACACTTCTACGCTGCTGGTGGGAATGCAAACTAGTTCAACCTCTGTGGAAAACAGTGTGGCAATTTCTAAAAGACTTAAAAATTGCCCTTCCATGTGATCCAGCAATCCCCCTACTGGGAATGAACCTGAAAGAACTCAGATCTTTCTACAGAAAAGATACCTGCACACATATGTTTATTGCAGCACTATTCACAATGAGAAAAACATGGAAGCAACCATGCTGCCCATCGAAACTGGACTGGAGATAAAAAGGGGTACATATAGACAGTGGAGTATTACACGGCCTTAAAGAAGGACAAACATATGGACTTCACAGCAACGTGGATGGATTTAGAGTCCAACATACTCAGTGATCTACCACAGAGGTATTACATGTTCTCCCTCATAAGTGGACTCTGAACATTGACCATAATAGTATAAGAAAGGGATTGGCAGTCGTGGGACCCTGCCAGGGAAAGGAGGGTGGGGAACATAACATCAACAAGGGTACCTGATCTCAAACCAGGTGAAGTGGGAACCAAAGGGAGACCCAATCTTTACCTCTATGATGTCCATTTGTATACCTAATCCTGAATTGTACTATACATCTTTAAAATAGCTTTTAAAATGAGGACATGCACAATCTGTGATGACCTTTAAATTATATCTGAGGTCTTATCCAATGAGGTTCGATGGGGGAATATACAAATGTTGGAAATGATATGAAATGACCACTTTTGCAAATGATAGCATTGTCTACATCGAAAATCCAGAAGATAATTACCAAAAAGAATTATTAGAACATTTTTACATAGATTAAAAGCAAGTAGTTGGCCTACGTCTGGGGACAGACACGAATCAGAAATGTGGTGAAATCAAAGGGACTCTTGCTTCCTCTGCATTGTCTGAAATTTCAAAATGAAAATGTAACCACATATTAAGGATGTAATTTTTAAAACTCCCCACAAAAGTAGATGCAGCAATCTCAAAAGTTTTTTTTACCCTTATGTATATTTTCACATCTTTATTTTATAAGGTTTTAAATGTGTTTCAACTTTATTAAAAATCATTAAAATCTTCCAAAAATGAAATGATAGTGCTAGAGAAGAAAACATATAGTTTTAGGCTGTCTAATAATACCAATATTACAAAATTCATCAAGAATCTTCTGGGAGAATTAGGGCTCCAGCGGGGAAACAGCCTTTTTGTCAACAGTGAGCCTTACTTTTGGCTTCTTTTTCAAAAACTCTGTACAGCTTCGCCTAGGAATAAATTTAAAAGTGCTCCATATCTCATTATAACATCTTGGGAAGCGTTTGAAACTTGAGTCCACCATGGCTTCCTTATACACATATGATATTTGGTTATTTGAAAAGCCATCAAGACAGGATGGAACGTAGTCACACGCCCAAAGATTGAAATTTCTTGAAACGTGTTGCCTCTTATCTGGGGAGATCTTCTTACGTCCCAGGCCCTGGGGAAAAAGTACAAGAAGATTAGGTGGAATATATCCAAGGCCATACAGTTCTGAGGTCTTTATTAAAACCAGCTACATGACATGTATATGTTTAAACGTAGCATATGCAAACTGTCATGCGGTCTCCTTTACCAGCCTGCTGAAGGCTGTACATTGACATTCACAACACACTGCTTGTATTTCAGTATTACTTTCACCGCCTTCTTGTGCCACCAGGAAGACCAGGCGTTCAGAGATATGGAAGACAGAACCAGAAAAAGCCCAGCCAGAAACAGCCTGTTAACCAGCCTCCAGTCGGCTCCCTGCACCCCTCAGCTCTCTGGTGTACCCATCCCAGCTGTTTCTCCAGCTCACAGCAGGACCGATGGCTCTTTCTCTGAGAAGCCTGAGGAGGCTGAATACTTTCCCAACCTGAGGGCTCCCCGGAAGGAAGCAGCACTGTTGAGTCTCTGCGCACAGGTTTCCTCATTCGCTCTCAGCACCTTACTTGAGAACGTGAGAAGGACTGCGTGTTCAAAATTGTACATTCAAGTTGATCGCAACTGGATGAAAACTAAGAAAGAAAACACCCTGCTCACACAAAAGACAGGAGATGGCCAATAGATTATCCAGACTTGGCATCAGTAAGGTGGGACTTTGCCTGTGATAAAGGGTCAGGGTCAGGTTCACAGCAGGAGACTGATGGCACATTCAAATGAGGGTAATTTCAGGAGTGTTTATAGCAGGATGATTTGCATATGTGGGGGTCCATGTAGGGAAATCCCAAGGGACCATGCAAAGGCTCCGGGTCTCAGGGCCCTGGGGAGGAGTAGAGGCCACACAGATTCGCCCCTGGAGCCAAAGTGTGGCGAAAAAGGCTCAAGTAGCTCTGGAGGAACAAGCAGATGTTGGCACGGTGCCCAAGCACTCATCTAAGGACTTACTGAGGACGCACCAGCAACTTGAAAAACATATCAAAGGAAGGAATGAAGAGAATAGAGAATAGAGCTGCAAGGAAAGTAGTAGGTAAAACTTAAAATGAAGTCTAAATTCTTGCTAATGTCGTGACTCTGAAATGCACTGGAACTTTAAGAATTCATAGGAAGGCCGGGTTCGGTGGCTCAGCCTATAACCCCGGGCCTTTGGGAGGCTGAGGTGAGTGGATTGCCTGAGCCTGCGGGTTCGAGACCCACCTGGGGCAGCAAGACCTCATCTCTACAATAAATCAAAAAATTAGCCGGGCGTGGTAGCGTATGCCTGTAATTCCGGCTACTCGGAAGGCTGAGGCGGAAGGATCGCCGGAGCCCAGCACGTCGAGGCTGCGGTGGCCGGAAGCGGCCACTGCATTCCAGTCTAGGTGACAGAGTGAGACTCCAATTCAAAAAAAAAAAAAAAGAATTCATAGGAAGGAAGGAAGGAAGGAAGAAGGAAGAGAGGAAGAGAGGAAGAGAGGAAGAGGAGGGAGGAAAAGAAGAAGATGGAAGAAAAACAATCTGGAACTGAAATTTCAGGATCTCAACCTGATAGAAGTTGGGGTGACTGCTCTGAGCTCAAGGCTAAAGTCTCCAAATGCATCCTCCTGGTGTTGGGAGAACACAACCCGGGCCACAAACACCACAGCCCCTGGAAGAGGAATGGGCAGGGGAGAGCACGCTGGAGACCTGGCCTGATCCTTGGGGAAAAGCTGTAGATATTAAATCTTATATTCATAGAGTAATTGAAAGGTACCTATAGAAACCTAGAAGAAACTTAGCTTATTCTTTAGTCTTTGTGCCTCAGTGTAACCATTAGAAAGCGTTCAGACATTCTACTGCAGGACAAACAGCAGCCTTTCCCATCCCCGCTAGACAAATCTTCACATACGAGATCAGGACAACTCAAAATGACCACCCCACCTTTGGTCAAGGAATTTGTGATTTGCAAATGTCTAACAAGTCTCTTTCAGTATCAACCCTCCCCCAGGGTTAACCTAACCAGCCCTCTGAACTTCGTGACACAGATAAGCCCCACCATGGCAGCAATCATGTGACTAGCCCACCCATCTGCCTGCTGTCCATCACCTGACATCATCAGTACCCTCTTGCCTTCCCCGTTTGTGATGACATGGAAGCAGACCACCACCCAATCACCTTAATGATCTTCCCCCATCAAGGGGAATGGTTAAAAGGACTCAACCACAAGCAACCGGCAGCCATTACCTTGCTAGAGTCTGGTGTGGCCATGTGCTCTTTGAGCCACGGCTGTCGCCATGCTTCCTGGCTTTGGTCCCCTCCCTCACCTTGGGGAGGTGAATCTTCTCTCTTCCTTCTCTTTCTCTCTCTAATTTACTTCTAAATAAACTTTTCTTTCTTAACCTTTTTGTGTGTCACAATTCTTTGCAATTTACTCAGATCTCTGGGTTGCCAGCCCCAGCAGTGCTGCAAGTCTCCCTGTACCTCTCCACCCTCACCTAGTCCGGCCGTACCCTAACAGTAATCAGTGTGAATATATTTCTTAGACATTTACACTTTAGGGCGACTACTAATAGAATAGCAATAAAAGAATGAACAAATAAATCCAAACAATCTAGCAAAATCAGGCGTGGGAGGAAAAGAAAAAGTAAACATAATAAATAGGAAATCTAAAAATGGGATGGCAAAAATAACATCAAAGACACAAATTTTCACAATAATGTGAATGGGTTAAATTTTTATATAAAGGAATAAAGACTCTTGGATTTTTATTTAAGCCATGCTATATTCTAGACAAATCCAAAGCAAAATGACTACAAATTATGAAGGCAAAGGAATGGACCATAACATAAAGAACAAATGCTAGCAAAAAGAAAGTAATAGTGACAGTGCTAATATCACAATATAGAATTCATGGCTCAAGGTGTTAAGGCATATAAAGAGAAACATTTCACATTGATAAATGACAAAAGTCACCAAGAAAAGAAAACAGCTATGAAATTTTATGCAGAAGAATATGGCATTACACTATATAAGGCCAAAAAACTTTGAAAATTCAAGAACAATTAGAAGCAGAAATTGACAGAACAAGACAAAAATTAAGAAAAGGATGTGAAAGGTTTGAAAAACATAATTAACAATTCTGAATTAATAAATATAAAGAACTTTGTAACCAATGGGGGGAATACATATTTTTTGTATTCTTTGTAAACATCCATAAAATACTTGTTAAAATTAATCACATACAAGAAAACAAAGATAATCTCATAATTCAAAAAGTGGAAATCATAGATTGTACTCTATAAAACTTCCTATAACCCATAAAAATATATATTAGCAACAAATAGGTGATCTTAACATTTTTTAACCATATAAAGCCGGGCTCGGTGGCTCAGCCTGTAATCCTGCGCCTTTGGGAGGCTGAGGTGAGTGGATTGCCTGAGCCCGCGGGTTCAAGACCCGCCTGGCAGCGAGACCTCATCTCTACAATAAATCAAAAAATCAGCCGGGCGTGGTAGCACATGCCTGTAATTCCGGCTACTCGGAAGGCTGAGGCGGAAGGATCGCCGGAGCCCAGCAGGTCGAGGCTGTGGTGGCCGGGAGCGGCCACTGCACTCCAGTCTGGGTGACAGAGTGAGACTCCAACTCAAAATAAATAAATAAATAATAAATAAATAAAACATTCAAAGCATTTTTCTAAATTTTTTTAGTAAAAATTCAAATTAAAAATTGAAACATTGGCTACTGGAAATAAATAATAATGAGACCTTAATTAGAAAAACCTTTGGAATGTAGCCAAAGCAATAATCTAAAGAATACTTACAGATTTAATAAATTAGTCAACAAAAACATTTGCAAGTATATAAACTAAACATTCAAGTGAAACAGAATTTGAAGAAACACCAGGAGTATTTTAGGAGATATTATACTAGGAAATTTGAAATGAATCTCATCAATTTTAGGCAAACACACATCAGCAAAACCTACCCAAGAAGAAGTAGAACATTTGAATAGATTAATAATCCAAGGAGAAATGGAAAGGGTCGTTAGAAACTTACTTTAAAAAATGTGTTAGATCCAAGTTATTTTATAGTCAAATTCTACCTTTCATTAAACTGAAAGTCCAAATGTTACATAAACTAGTCCAGAACATAGAGAAAGTTGGAAAGCTTCCAGTGCTTTCTAGAGACTAACATAACCCTAGCGAAATACATGTGGTATAATCCTATTTATATCATTAACAAGATACACATTTATGTGTGTGTGTTTGTGTATGAACTGCAAAAAATTCTCAAATTTTACCCACAAAACTATTATTGGCAACGAATCATCAAGGTCAGGTTGTGAGGAAAGAAAATAAAGGTGCGAATTTTAATTTTATATAATTCTGTATTATTTGTTTGTTTGTTTTAAAGGACGTATGTTACTTTGGTTATTTGGGAAACAATATTAAGCATTCCATTTAGAGAGCCAGGTAAAGTAGATAGTCTAGTTCTGTCTTCAACACTTCCAGAAGCAAATCAGATTTTGGGGATTAAGCCATTTCAATTTAATTAAGACATTGTAGCCTAGAGGGAAGAGTTACTTTGGACAAGTTGTTTAACTGTACTGGCCCTCAATGTCCTCATCTTTAAATTGGGGATAACAAGCATTATTAGCCCAAGGGATTGTTGTAAGGATTGGATGAGATAACGAGAAGGTGTGGAGGAATTTGAGGCCTGACTAGGCCGGCAGCAATTGGGTAAATTGAGGAAGTAAATCTCAGGATGAGATTTCACAAATGTTACAAAGAAATTTACTGATAATAGCAGTAAGAACTGTAGAACCAACTGTAAAATATTTGCAGTAAGCAAAAAGTAGTCAACCATTTGTTGCTCGTTAACTATTGCTGTTAACTAACCTTTTCTTAAAGAAACAAAATACCACCATCAGTCAGCTGCTTCATAAACATCTGGAGATGTCCCTTTGCAGATTACACCCAAAGACAATTCCCCCTGGCCATACTAGACACTTCTTATAAAATACACTCCCGAACCCCGCAATCCTCCTACTGGGAATATACCCTGAAGAACTCAAATCACTCTATAAAAAAGATATCTGCACACATACGCTTATCGTAGCATTGTTCACAACAGCAAGATCATGGAACCAGCCATGCAGTCCACCAAAAGAGGACTGGATTTTTAAAATGTGGTACATATACACAATGGAACATGACGCAGCCATAAAAAAAGAACGAAATCATGAATTTCGCAGCAACCTGGATGGAATTAGAGTTTCTAATACTGAGTGATCTCTCACAGAAACAAAGATCTGAGCATCACATGTTCTCACTCATAAGTGGACTTTGAACAACTACCGTAATACTCTAAGAGAAGGATTGACAGTCAACAAGGGTACCTGCACAATGCATATTTGTATACCTAACCCTTAGCTGTACCCCACAATTTTAAAATAAAAAATATGTATTTTCAATAAACAAATAAATAAAAAATATACTCCTCTGGCCACTGCCTCTTTGCAGGCAGCAGACAACACTCTCTGCTGCTCTGCCCTTGGTACCCTTTACAGTGTATCTTCCCTTTAATAAATGTACCTTTCTTAATCTATAAGTATCTTGGTGAATACTTTCACCCCGTCTCTAACCATATCACACCCAGCCTGCCACACATGGCAGTTGGTGTGTGGAAAATGTTTTATAAGCAGTGGGCTGTTATTAACATCTTCATCATAATGGACTTTTAAGTTCAGTAAAGATTCCCAGGGATCACCTGATTCAACCTCCTGTCTAAGACGTGTTATCCCCATGCCGTCCAGTCTGGTAGCCACTAGCCACACGTAGCTACCGAGCACTTGAAACGTGAGTCTCCAAACTGAGATGTAACATAAGTGTAAAATCCAATTTGGATTTTAAAGACTTGGTTTGGAAGAAGGAATGTAAATATTTCATTAACTTTTTTTTTTTTTTTTGAGTTGGAGTCTCACTCTGTCGCCCAGACTGGAGTGCAGTGGCCGCTCCCGGCCACCGCAGCCTCGACCCGCTGGGCTCCGGCGATCCTTCCACCTCAGCCTTCCGAGTAGCCGGAATTACAGGCGCGCGCTACCACGCCCAGCTGATTTTTTGATTGATTGTAGAGATGAGGTCTCGCTGCCCAGGCGGGTCTCGAACCCGCGGGCTCAGGCAATCCACTCACCCCAGCCTCCCAAAGGCGCGGGATTACAGGCTGAGCCACCGAGCCCGGCTAACTTTTTTATATATTGATGACATGTTGAGTTGATAATTGGGAGAACTATTCAGTTAAACAAAATATATTATTAAAGTTAATTTTCACCTGTTCCCTTCTGCTTAATGTGGCTACTAGAAAATTTAAAATTCCATATACAGCTTGAGCTCCATTTCTATCATGCAATGCTGTGTTGACCACTATTCTATCAGAGTTTAATGTTCTCCAGTGACGGGGAACTCACCTCCTCCAGCAAAAAGCCAACTCCAGTTATTAGAAAATTCTTCCTTGTATTATGTAAGCCCTCCCTTCCTTCTGGCTCCTCCTCGTGGGTCTTGGCTCTGCCATCCAGAGACACTCATCGTGTCTCTCTTTCCCATGGCAGGGATGCACAAGAAAGCTCACAAAAGAGACAATTTGTGAGAAGGCACTCTAAGAAGTAGGAAGTGCACGTGAACCTAGGCAGAAAGCTGGTGTGGACTTTGAAAGTTGTGTGAACTCTGAGAACTTCTGGCATATTAAATATATTTATTTATTTATAACCTGCAAATAATCTTGTTTAAGACCTCACTTTGTTTTGATCTTGTCCCCATTTCGAGGTCAGCCTCTGTTTTCAATGTGCTTCACAAAATCAAGAGCCCTGATGTTGCTTCCATTGTATTAGGAATTTGGAAATACTCACGGAGTCAAGGTAGTGTCCAGAGTTCTCAAAACTGTGCCGATTGTCATGCACGGAGAAGGGGAAGTTGTTTTTTACTGCTTGCTGGAAAAGAGGGGAGATGGAAAGGCACCCATCAGAGCTCCAGTTTGCTTTCAGAACCCGGATATAGGGATGTGGAAGAAAAGTGACCTCTAAGTTAGACCATTAAACCCATTGCCAGAGGTACAGCAAACAGCACAGGACAGGGAAGATGTGCATATGCACCACAACTCAGAGTTTGAAACTCAACCTTACTGCCAGCTTTCTGAAAGTCGTGTCGATCCCCTTTCAGGACATCTTATTTGGAAGTAAGGATGGAAAAGTGTATAGGCTCATAGAGCCAAGAGCTAGAAAGGTCCTTGAGGCCGTGTAGGCCAACTACATCCTCTGACCAATAAGAAGACCCTGGCCCAAGTCTGCAGGGTGTATTTGGGAGGCATGAGGTCAACACCTCCTCTTTCACACCCCTTCAGGTCCCCTGAAGTGGCTCAGAAATCAGTCAGGGAGGCAGAACTTACAAGTTACAGACTGAGCTGTAACCAAAGCTGTCGCTTCATGTCCACAGACGAGCCTACATTGATTGTCTGGACTAGGCAGTAGCTCCTTCCTGAGAGGATCAGGGTATTGGATGGGGAGACCATCAGCCTTGGGGGCTCCAGGGATAGTAAATGTGCAGTTTCTTACAGGGAAGAATTTTCTGGCCAAAAATGCCAGTGGTGCCACCCCTCGGGGAGCCACAGGAAGGCTTCCAGACTCACCTTCTCCCGGACTTTGTATATTGGCGGTAACTTCCCCCGCACTTGCCAAGACAATTGTGGATTGTGGGACTCTTTCAACATAGCACTTGTGATGGATTCTGGTGTCTTTTGCATCAGTCCAATGTGGGGGAACTGGAAAAACAGCACAAGCCTTGATCAAAACCAGACACATTCGAATCTACCAGCCAAGGATCAGGGCTTCCTCTGTACTGTGATTAAAATTCAATTTGGGTGCTTCTGGCATGCAATGGAAATAGCATAATTTTTGCCATTTTCAAGTATTCTTTCCAAGACAAAAAACATTGTAATGGCCCAGAGCCATCACTGCCGGTTGTTTCAAGTTACAAGGGACACCCCTGCCGCGCCAGAGCCTGGAAATGTTTCCACAGCCTGGTAAGGAGGGTGTGGCCTTCAGAGAATGAGCAGACGCACTCTGAAAAGACAGAATAGTGTGATCTGAGATCTTCCTTCTGGTCAGGGAGTTCTCACGCGCTTGGGGCCTAGGAACCAACCAACTCACGTTCACGGGGGTAAGCTGACCTCCAGCAATGGAATTATGAGGTGGGCCCTGAGACAAGGGAAAGCTGAGTCGTCACTGGAAATGTAGGATGGTCAAGGGAAGCGATATTTGGGAGGAAGAAAGGGGTAGAAGTGTGTGAAAAGGAAAAATGAAGACAATGAGGATGATTTGGGGGCGCTCTTGCAATCTCCCTACAAAACACTGGGAAGGAAACAGGACTAGGCAGAGAAGGATGGTCCTGACAAAGGCCTCAGTGGATCCCGTAGAGAGCTGTGCACCTATGGTGGCCTCTCAGAGTTAGAGCGAGGGGACCGGCTTCCGTGCGCCCTATTCACTGTCGTTGGATTGTTTCTAGGCTGCTCTGGGTGTGACCTTGGAGAGGTAATTCTCTCTTTTTAAAAAAAATTTATTATAAAGATGCGGGGTACAATTCAGGGTCAGGTATAGAAACATTGATCATGCAGGTACCCTTGTTGATGAGGTATGCCCCTCCCTCCCCTAGCAGTTTCCCTCAACTGCCAATCCTAACCCCCATACCAACAGTTTCCCATTACTGCCAATCGCTTTTTTATAGCATCATAATTGTTCAAGGTCACCTTATGAGTGAGAACATATGGAATCAGTTCTTTGTTTCTGTGATAAATCACTGACTATGATCGACTCCAAATCCATCCAATTTGCTGCAAAGTTCATACATTTGTCCTTTTTATGGCTGCATCATATGCCATTGTGTATATATACCACATTTTGTTTATCCAGTCCAGCTTCAATGGGCAACACGCTGGTTCCATGTTTTTGCTATTGTGAAGAGAGCTGCAACAAACATACGTGTGCAGGTATCTTTTTTGTAGAATAATTTGGGTTTCTCCGGGGATATTCCCAATAGGGGAATGACTGGGTCATATGGAAGGTCAATTTCTAGTTCTTTCAGAAATCGCCACACTGTCTTCCAA